CTAGATAGGTAGTTTTGTTGTGCTTCACCCCTTGTCTGTTAATCAACATTTAATATTGTTGGGTACATAAACGAGACCGAACTAAATAACTTGAATGTGGTGTTTCGTCAATATGCAACGGAGTTGCATATTGAGCTCCACTTAATTTGTAGAATTGCTTGTGCACTTTGCCATGCCATGCCCTCTTTAAACCGAACATGCATCATACTTGGTTGTGCATCATGCCATGCTTATGTCATGGTTGTTTACTATGTTGTGTGCTTCTTTCCGGTGTTGCTTCTTCGGGTTGGTTCCGTTAACGTCACGTTGTGAGGAACCGTTCGTCTACGTCCGTTTGTCTTCTTCATGGACTCGTTCTTCTTCCTTGCGGGATTTCAGGCAAGATGATCATACCCTCGAAATCACTTCTATCTTTGCTTGCTAGTTGCTCGCTCTTTTGCTATGCCTATGCCGTGATACCTACCACTTGCTTATCATGCCTCCCATATTGTTGAACCAACCTCTAACCCACCTTGTCCTAGCAAACCGTTGTTTGGCTATGTTACCGCTTTCCTCAGCCCCTCTCATAGCGTTGTTAGTTGCAGGTGAAGATTGAAGTTTGTTCCTTGTTCGAACATGGAGATGTTGTTCCTTGTTGGAACATGTTTACTTGTTGGGATATCACAATATCTCTTATTTAATTAATGCATCTATATACTTGGTAAAGGGTGGAAGGCTCGGCCTTATGCCTGGTGTTTTGTTCCACTCTTGCCGCCCTAGTTTCCGTCATATCGGTGTTATGTTCCCGGATTTTGCGTTCCTTACGTGGTTGGGTAATAATGGGAACCCCTTGACAGTTCGCCTTGAATAAAACTCCTCCAGCAATGCCCAACATTGGTTTTACCATTCGCCACCTATCCTTTTCTTTCCCTTGGGTTCTGCAGACTCAAGGGTCATCTTTATTTTAACCCCCCGGGCCAGTGCTCCTCTGAGTGTTGGTGCAACCTATAAGCTGCCGGTGGCCACCAGGGGCAACTCTGGGATGGCCTACCCGTACCTTGGACAATCTGAGTGTGCCCTGAGAAAGAGATATGTGCAGCTCCTATCGGGATTTGTCGGCACATTCGGGCGGTGTTGCTGGTTTAGTTTTACCATTGTCGAAATGTCTTGTAACCAGGATTCCGAGCCTGATCGGGTCCTCCCGCTAGAAGGAATATCCTTCGTTGACCGTGAGAGCTTGTGATGGGCTAAGTTGGGACACCCCTGCAGGGATTTGAACTTTCGAAAGCCGTGCCCGCGGTTATGGGCAGATGGGAATTTGTTAATATCCGGTTGTAGAAAACCTGAAGTTGACCTTAAGTAAAATGCATCAACCGCGTGTGTAACCGTGATGGTCTCTTTCCGGCGGAGTCCGGGAAGTGAACACGGTGTTGGAGTAATGCTTGACGTAGGTTGTTCTAGGATCACTTCTTGATCATAGTTTTCTCGATCGCGCTTTGCCTTCTCTTCTCGCTCTCATTTGCGTATGTTAGCCACCATATATGCTAGTCGCTTGCTGCAACTCCACCTCATACCTTTTACCTTACCCTTAAGCTTAAATAGTCTTGATCGCGAGGGTGTGAGATTGCTGAGTCCCCGTGACTCACAGATACTTCCAAAACCAGTTTGCAGGTGCCGTTGAACCATGCAGGTGACGCAACCAAGCTCAAGGAGGAGCTCGTTGAAGATCTTGTTCTTTATGTTGTTTCGTTCTAGTTGTTCAGTAGTGGAGCCCAGTTGGGGTCGATCGGGGATCTGTGTAGCATTTGGGGTAGTCTTCTTTTATTTTGGTTTCGGAGTCGGACCTTGATTGTATCTGGATGATGTAATGCCTTATTCATGTATTGTGTGAAGTGGCGATTGTAAGCCAACTATGTATCTCTTTCCCTTATGTATTACATGGGTTGTGTGAAGATTACCTCACTTGCGACATTGCTTTTAATGCGGTTATGCCTCTAAGTCGTGCTTCGACACGTGGGAGATATAGCCGCATTGAGGGCGTTACAGACAACATACAATCATACCATAGGCTAGCTTCTAGGGTTTAGCCTCTCTGATCTCGTGGTAGGTCTACTCTTGCACTACCCATATCATCAATATTAATCAAGAAGGACGTAGGGTTTTACCTCCATCAAGAGGGCCCGAACCTGGGTAAAACATTGTGTCCCCTGCCTCTTGTTACCATCCGCCTTAGACGCACAGTTCGGGACCCCCTACCCGAGATCCATCAGTTTTGACACCGACGGAGAGGGTTGAAACTTAACCAGACGGGTTGAAAGCCCCCAAACGACCTTGTTGACGTAATCAACTTTTGGGTACATGACCCGAACTTGCAGTGGCTGAAGAGCCGATCGAGAGGGTTGAAGCTTAACCCGGCAGGTTGAAAGCCCCCAAACGACCTTGTCGATGATATCAACTATTGCACCATCTTGTAAGACGCCCATTTGTAAGCCGCCATTTTGTAAGCTGCCATCTTGTATGAAGAAAACAGGCAGAAGCCCCCAAATGACTTTATGATGATCCAATAAATTAGGGCACCCATGTTTGAACGGCGCCTCTCGGTGGCTCATCTTCTCGGGCAACTTTTAATCCTTCCATCAATAGTGTAGTAGTCACCGGGACCGGGTTAACTTCCTTGCAATGACCTAGGGTTTTTGTTGAAAACAACAATGTGTCGAGCCATATCTGTAGCCCTCGAGTCTTAAGTTGACTCGAAGAGGCAGCTTGAGAGTCTTCATAGTTGACTGTGTCTTAAGCGTATGTCCTTGGTGTTGACAACATCATGTAAATCCACCGAAGGTTAAGCTTGAGCGTGGCGGGTTAGAGATGATCATGTATGAATTGCTTCAATAACTGGTCGATGGTTTGTCCTGGCCGGTTGTTGAAGTTAACCAAACCGCAGTGGCAGCGACTTGTGCGCATGTCCGTTTGGGCAGCTCGTATAGACGAACACTGCACCGAAATGCTGATGTAGATTAGACTAGGGCGGCGTCTTGCGCGTGTCCGTTGGGCGGCTCGTATAGGCAAGCACTGCATCGATGTGTTGATGTCAACTGGATCGCGGGCATGGCGGCTTGCGCGTGTCCGTTGGGCCGCTCGTACTGGTGTATGCAGCCCCTGGCTTGTTGATGTAGACGTAGAAGTCAGTCGCAACGTTTGAAGACGGCGCGGTCGCGAGAGACGGCCGCGGTGTTGTAAGCCGGTGCGGTCGTGAGAGACGGCCGTGGCATTGTAAGCCGGTGCGGTCGCGAAAGACGACCACGGCGTTGTAAGCCGGTGCGGGATTCCGTTAAGTAACGCGACACGGGCGACCACCTGTATCGAATGATGTTGGCATGCCTCCATCTCCATGGTGTAATGTCACTTTTGTAGTAAATGATTACCCTGCATATAAAAAATGCCATAGAGCAGAGTAGTTATGCTCGGAGTAATTAACGTGTACTAAGAAAATATATAGGTGAAATAACATCTGATTTTTTGCACGTATATAGGTGCGGCCATTAGCATGCAGTTGGCCCCACGTATGTGTACTTCATCCAATTCACGCAGATTGATCTCCGAATAAAGTTAATCCAATGTGGAGTACCGGCACTAGTCGCCTTAGGCTGTGTCCGGTTGACAGGGATTTGAAGGGGGTTTGGCAGGGATCAAAGTGGATTTAATCCCCTACAAGTCAAAATCATTCAAAATCCCTTTCAATCCTTTTGTGAAGGGGTGTAACCAAACAAAGCCTTAGGGAAAAATGATCCCTCATATTCTGCAGTTGCAGCCGTGTAAGACGAGCAAAATGCATCTTCAGCTTGCAAACGGTGATCTGACTGCTTCTGGACGCCTCACCGTGCTCTCCCTTTTTTTTAAATGCTGACAACGGTTTGATCTGAACATCCCCGGCGGCTACTCTTTGTGGTGGTAACCGTGCATGTGCTTGCTTCCTCCAAAAACTGCCAACCATGTATGTATTAATGGTCTAGTTGATGCTTGATTTGTTCCTCGCTCCACGTGAACAATACTCTACTGATCAACAATAGCAGCAGCTTAGCAGATTTCTATATGGACTGGGATCAGGTGACATGCCTCTTGGCAGTCACCGCGTAACATGCGCCCTCCCATCCATCGTTGGTTCCCCATCCAACGCCACTGATTGATCCAAGTGCAAAACGATTCAGACTTGAGCTTTTTTCAGACAGTCGACAGTAGCAAGCGTCTCACAACAGCGATCATTTTGCTAGTCCAGAAACTACAGCTTTATATGTTGTACCAATTTGTATACATTAAAATCAAGACCTGGCAACGATCAAGCATGCATCAACCAATTTATCAACACATCCAGCCACCATCCTCACATTAGAAAACTGAAAAAAAAATCCATACTTACACATCTTTAGACAGCCGACAGTGTAAACAACATCAGTCAGTTTCTATCAAGCACACATCAACCAATTCATGAACCCATCCAGCCATCATCCACACATTAGAAAACTGAAAAAAAAATCCAAACTTACTATTCTTTAGACAGCCAACGGTAAAGCAGACATCAGTCAGTTTTGATGCAATTAGAGATGAAAAACAACAGCAACTATTTAAGGTTAAAAAGAGGTATTGTACATGATCGAGTCAATAAATTCAACAATTAGCATTGAAAGAAACAGCAGCCATCATTCTTGCTCAAGATCAACACTAGTATTGCTGGACCAAATTACATGCTGCCACTAGCAGTACTCAACATGTAAATTCTGCAGCAACAAGTCTTGCTAGTGAAACAATCATCGGAGTACACAAAATAGGCCGTTTTACTTGTACACTTAGGCCACAAAAGACTATAGTTAGCCCCAACTATAGTTAACTCTGTCCAAAATACTATCTAGAAGACTTGCACATGCTAAAACAAATGATGAACATCACAAGGTGGAGTTGTCAAGAGTTGGGTGAAACTGAAGATTGCATTGCACTCTTGAAACTCCAAGTTTGCTCCTTTGTTCTTGTCATCCTTCTCCACTTCCACTTGAGGCTTCCCCTTCTTTTGTTGCTTCTAGTGAAAATTAAAGTAACTAGTTTAGAATTGAACAATGAACAAATCATGTAAATAACAACATACCTTTGCTCCTTTTTTTGTTGGTGCGGTAGTTTTAGTTGACTTGCGCTTCCCCTTGAGTAACTTCTCAAGCCAACCTTTCTTTCTCCTTAAATTTCTTGATTGAACCTCTTTTTTCTTTAGTTGTGCGGAACAAAGAAACTCATTTGTTTGCTGGACATTTGGTTCAACATTTTCCTTGTCTTTACATGGTTCATTCATAGCACTAGTAGTTGCGTTGAGTTTATCCTCTATTTGTGGAGCAACGGAATCATGTGCATTCTCCAATAGCACACAACATTCTAAATAGTTGGCTGCTTTATGTGCCAAATTGTGAAATTTATGAGACAAATCCTGGTACCGAAGTTGAGCTTCTAGTTTTGGATTTTCTACAACATTCCTTCCTTGCCTATCTTGTATACTTCCATTGCGTGCTTCTCTAGTCAATCTCTTTAAGACATAATGTGTTGGCATTGTCTTTATATTCAGCAAATCAAGAACTTTGAGACCATGTCCACACAATACTCCTGCCCTATTGAACATTCCACAACTACATGAAATGGTTTGGGTCAAAGGATCACCTATCACTATGCGCTCCTCCTCGAACTGTAAATCACCATGCAAACTCCCAATAGCAACACCAAATTTGTTATTTCCATCCAATACTCTACAACATGCAGCCATGGATCTTTCATACTCACCTTGGAAAGCTTCAAAAATAATTGGAGTATACACTTTGCTTGCTTGCACCAACATAGGTGTGAACATTTTGATTCTTGGTAATTTTTTCCTTGCCTCAAATTCAGGTTCCAATTCCTTTCTTCTTTTCACTTCCATCGTCCTCTCAAAGTGCATCAAGAATCGAACAATATGGAAATCTGATTTCAAATGATTCTTCAATGCATTGTTGAAGCTCTCACTTAGTTGTGTACTCCTCACTCCCAAACTGAAGACATCTCTCATATAACATTCAGCCCATTTTTCCTTCACCTTGTAGATACTATCTAACCAAGTTTGCTTATGCACCTTTTGTCTCATATTATCAAACGCTTCTTCAAATTCTGCCTTGTCCTCATAGCCATACATACATGCACCAAAATCAGTGAGAATGTGAGTCTCCTTTTCTTCATCTTCCACTTCATCTTCCTCTTCGTCCTTCACTGAAGATAAATGTTTGACAGCATTTTGCATTATGTGGAAGGTGCACAATCCATGATATGATTGCGTGAAGACATGCTCTATAGCTTTTCCCATTGCTATATCTTGATCCGTATAAATAGTTCTAGGTTGTCTTCCATTATGTGCTGCTAGAAAACTCTCGAAGAGCCATATAAACGAGTCTCGTGTTTCATCAAACATCAAGGCAGCACCAAAAATGGTGGTTTCTCTAAACTGATTGAGCCCAAGAAAAATACCAAATGGCCTATACTCTTTATTTGTGCCAAATGTGGTGTCAAATGTGACATCACCAAAGTGTGCATAATCAAGTAACATTTTAGCATCAACCCAGAATATGTTGGCAATATTCTCCTCACAATCGAGCTGCAACGCATATTGAAATGATGGATTCTCAGCAACTTTGTCGCGAAAATACTTCAACATACTCCCAGCCTGTCCAAAAGCCAATTCTCTCTGTCTCTTGCTTCGCAAATGATTCTTTTGGTCCCGGCAAGTATAGCCAAGGTTAAGCGGCCCACCAACTTTACGACAAGCAAACTCATGTGCGGGTTTTGGCATAATTCCAGAATCATCAGCGGTTTCTATCTCGAAAGCTTGCAGTTCTGAAATCTTTCTTTGTGAAACCAACAAGTGGCGGGTTTGTGGCAATTGAAGGTAGTGGTTGTGTTCCAACACAACTTCAGTAATTTCATAATTTTCTGTCGCTCGATCCAATGTAATAACCATCCGAACTAGACAATCAGTTCTTGTTTCAGCTCTAAAACGCTTTGGCTCACGTTCGGTTTGACATTTCCTTCTAAGACCCTCATTGGAACAAACAAATCTGCATGAAGTCACCTTTCCATCAAATTTGCTTTTGTTGGTGCATCTTTTCCTCACATCGAAGCCTATGTGACCCCCATATTCTACCCAAAACATCCAAGCCTCATTTGAATCTTTGAATCTCATACCAACTTGAGGTATCCTCTTGTCAATTTGTGCCATTGCACAACACTTTCACAATTGCATAATACCCAAATTCTGCCAAAATTCAAAACGACATGTATATCAGAGAAAAAACAAGCACGGATGTGCAGCAATGATTAAGAAAACTGAATGATGTGCACCAAGTACAATGACATCACTTCAACATCAGGGACTTGTTCTAACAATTGTCTTCATTCAAAAGATATAAACAGGATGATGATTTTCTACAGATTACTCCTCAAGCAACACACATTGTTCTGTTAAATTTTGTCCTAAATATCCTCAGACAGAAACATATACGAAACAAAGGAGGGGTTGTGCCTTAGTACCTCTGAACCTCCTGTAGGTTGCTCCTGTTGAGGTGGAGAAGCTCCACAATCTAGAGCAGAGAAGCACCCAAATCGGCGGAATCGGAGAGGTCCGACGTGTCGGCGTAGCACCTCCGCGACGGCTCAATCACTACCCCCTCGAGCACCTCCGTGGAAGCTCAGCCCTGGCGCCTCTCGAGCACCTCCGCAACGGCTCAACCCCGGCCCCCCCTCGAGCACCTCCGCGGCGGCTCAGCCCCGGCCCCCCTCGAGCACCTCCGCGGCGTGCAGCTCAGCCACAGCCCCTCCTCGAGCACCTCCGCGGCGGCTCGGCCCCGGCTCCCTCACTCACCTCGGCGGCGGCGATGCCCCGGCCCCGTCGCCATCCGTGCGGTGCCCCTCCACCCCAACCCCTCGTCCACTTCCTTGCGGCGACCTGGTGGTGGATCTTGTGGCCTTGTGGCGGACGACGGCGGCGATGTAGCCGGTTCCCTCAGCGGCGGTGCGGCGCCGATTCCATCTGCTCTGCAGCGGGCGCGGGAAAGAACTGAGGAGCCCGCCTATTCCTCTTTTTCACCCGCATCGTCTCGTCTCCATGCCAAAACTGCTAGCTGTTGCCTTCTTTTACTTTGTTCGCTGATAACCGTTGGATGAAAAAATAGCGGTGGATGGGAGGGCGCATGTTACGCGGTGACTGCCAAGAGGCCCTGATCCCAGTCCGGAGTTGCCTTGGTACTTGATTCCCTTGTGAGCAGCAGCTAATATAGACACTGCGTACGGAGCAGCAGTTGCAACGCGACAGGACAGCAAGGAAGGCTGTATGAAGGCGGTGGCGGCCGTTGACCACCGCGGCGGAAACGGCGACTCGAGGCCGAGGCGACTCGGAAACAGAAGCGTGGCCAGGTTAGAGCCGGAGGTGTGCGGCTTAGAGGCCCCTCAGCGGCGAGCTGAAGCGCGCGAGTGGATAAGGGCGGGCGGCTCAGCGACGGCCGGCGGATTCAAGGCTGCGGCGGCGACTTGAAGCTGGCCGACCGCAGCGGCAGCTTAGCACACCGGCGAGAGCGGCTCGGAGGCCGCGACAGTTGTGGCGGCTCACAAGCCGGCCACAGCAGAAGCAGACTGGTGAGACGGCGGTAGGGGCGGCTCGGCGCGGGTGCCGGCAGGTGCTGCAGGGGGAATGGGGGATGGCCGTGCACAGGAGCAAGGCGGAAACGGCCTGCGCGGACCCAGCAACACCCGGCAGCCGTGACGGCTCAATTTGAAGGCGGTTTGGCTTGGGACGGCCCCAGGCGGCGCCGTAGGAGGGGCAGGTTAAGGCCGAGGCTGTTTCGGCGAGCGACCTCGGCGGGTCCGAGGCAGAGACCGGGTCTTGCTTCCTTTTGCTCTTTCCTTGAGTACACTTTCCATCTCAAGTACTCCCTCTATTCCATAATATAAAAACGTTTTTTATATTAATATAGTGGCAAAAATGCTTTTATATTATAAGACGAAGAAAGTAGTTTTTTGACTTACGAGCTGCTATAGTTGAAGCCGTATCTGATTAGTACTCCTTTGCTTAGCAGAGGCAGCTGCCACCATGGCGGAGGCATCCGGTTCAATTCCAAACAGTGTTTGATCGATAGTTGACTTGATGGTGGCTTGGCCTGATGCAATTTGCGTCTGTAGAGAATGATTTGATGCATTGGTATGTTATTGATCATGCACTAGGAGCGCGCGCACACATACATACATACATACACACACATATATATATACATATATATATATATATATATATATATATATATATATATATATATATAACACTTTCGCCTTATTCTAATAACACCCAACCCGCCCCGAACCTAACATTAAAAACAACCGCCCGCCCTCCCTAAGAAAGAAAAAACACCCACCCCCACTACTTCCCCCCCGCCCATCCCGAC